GTTAACATTAAAAAAAAATCCTGCATGGCTACTAGTATTTCGGTTCATTGATAACCGTGGGTTTACACTGCTTTGTCACGCTTCTATAAAGTAAATTTTAGTTATTACACTCTTGTGATAAGCTTGCATTTTGATGCAAATATTGTGTGGTCATGTTAGTATTGTTGTTACTTTGCATTTCAACATCAGCCTATCAGATAGAAGACTTAAACTTTAGACTTCAAAGTATTAATATAAATATATCTCTCAGATGAACGTTTTCTCCATTGGTAACTGTTGCGCTCATGTATGAAGTGTGTCGCATCTGGGTTGAATTACTAAAATAAATTTTACTTCCTTCTTTATAGAAAATGTGTTTCTTCATAGTTTACCATATACTGTTGGTTTCTTGTTATTTCTGAGAACATATGAACCGAAAATATCCCTTGTTACGCAATGAAAGAAACAGCCTTATTTTTTCTGTCGGTTTTCTAAGAAAAATGAAATATGAAGATAACATACTAAATTCAAAAGTATATGCAAATAATACAAAATTGTATCAGAGCAAACAAGGGCATCTTGAATTATCAGAGGTGGAATCAGATGCCATGGAGAATAAAACATCTCCTTTTGACCAGTGACACCCTCCGGGAAATCAAATGATATAACAATTTCTATAGAAGACGATGGTCAGGTTCGACCTAATCTAGTGAAATATATGGAGATAATGAACAGTATTTAACCTCTGCATGGCTTAAAATTGACTTCAGACGAAATTGTAGATACATTTGTATAATAAACATGTTTTTCAGTAGCCTTTCTCGATTTAAAAGTGCTCTTTGATACAAAGAACATCCTCTTTTGCATATCGAATAAACCTTACAAAGAATCGAATCAACCTCGAGTTATAATTCCAATTTATGATGACGTTTGAAAAGGTGAAGTAAATACGTTTAATTATGAATCAAGCAGTTAGTTTGCAAACAAATAAATCTTTTCCTAATAAAACATCCAAATATGAAGGAGTTATGCCAGACCCTGTCGTATCTTCTGTTCTGTAATCAGTGGGAAAATGTTTAAAAAAAAATTAAGATAGAATACACTTTGAAAGAATGACAACTCTTTCATCACAGAACAGTAGCTCTATTTCTTTTAGAATTCTCTCGCTTTATATTTCTCTATGTTCTCTATGTTTGTTTCAGTGTCGACGGTAAAAGAAAGGTTTTGTCATTTGACAGATGGAATTTAAGCTATAAATTAGATCAAAGACTTTTTTACAGATTGAAAATATAATATTCATTAATGTCAACTCGATGTATCCCAATAAACATATATACTATCTTTTTTTTTTTTACAATGTGTGTTTAAGAGGTGATTTTACAAGTTGATGAAACAAAAACATCAGCAGTCAGTTTTAAAGTCATCATTTCGTACGTTCTATGGTCGATACCTTACCAGGAAAACAATCTATCATTAAGTCAAATTCTGACAGACGTTTTTATACTAATTGTCAGACAAGTACGTATTTACACACCGAATTGTCGACAGATTTTTTCGTTTTATTTCCCGATCATGACAAGGAGCACACGGCGGATTTGACCGGTCGGCAGGGGATGCCCACTCCTGCATGGTACCTGATTCCACCTCTGAGGTCCTTGTTTGCTCTGCTTCAAAATTTGTATTGTTTAATGGACTTTTGAGATTGTATACTTTTCGTTTTCTCTTTGTATTGCATTGTTAAACATCGATCAATGAAATATATGCGGTAACGAACAGTCAATTAAATATAAGAAATAATGAGCTCATATGGAGATCTTTTTTTATTTACTGAGTTTACAAAAGTGTGAAGATTTTTTTTGCTGACATTTTTAAGTTGCGGGTTCGAATCCCAATGTGGGACGTGGAGACCGGTCCTTCGGATGAGACTGTATAAACCGAGGTCCTGTGTCGCAGTAGATGCTGACACGAAAACGATCTCTCCCTGCTCAATAGCCCCAAGTCCCGATTGTAGGACAAAATTTGCAGCCCTCCACCGGTAAGTGGTGACATCTCTATATGAGTGAACAATTCTCGAGAGTGACATAAAACAACATACAAACAAACAAACATTGACATTTAAGTAGATACAAAATACTTAGCAGCTTTGCAAAGCGTTTACACTGTAAAGAAAATGTGATCAGAAAAAAATTGCAAGTCAGAGAAGACCTTAAAATTGATGCCCTGTATCACGGTAGGCATTGACACGATAAAAGTCCCTCATTGTTCAATGGTCCTGGGTGTCGAGTTTAAATTCAAAGCCCTTCACCGGTTTATGGTATGGTAAATCATTAGAAATCAATCAAATTCAAACTGCATTTTTGACACCTGATCCCATCTCTGATGTTTTTGGAGATTCATGTTTGTCCTGCTCCTATTTTGTTAGCTCACCTGAGCCGAAGGCTCAGGTGAGCTTTTCTGATCACATTTTGTCCGTCGTCCGTCCGTCTGTCTGTCTGTCTGTCTGTACGTCTGTCCGTCTGTAAACTTTTCACATTTTCGACTTCTTCTCAAGAACCACTGGGCCAATTTTGACCAAACTTGGTACAAAGCATCCTTGGGTGAAGGGGAAGTGAAATTTTTAAAATGAAGGGACATATCCCCTCGCAAGGGGAAATATTCAAGAAAAGACAAAAATAGGGTGGGGTCATTAAAAAATCTTCTTCTCAAGAACCACTGGGCCAGAAAAGCCGAAACTTATGTGAAAGCATCCTAGGGTAGTGTAGATATTAAATTGTACAAATCATGACCCCCGGGGGAAGGGCGGGGCCACAATGGGAAATCAAAGTTTTACATAGAAATATATAGGAAAAATCTTTGAAAATCTTCTTCTCAAGAACTACTGGGCCAGGAAAGCTAAAACTTTTGTGGAAGCATCCTGGGGTAGTGTAGATATTAAATTGTTAAAATCATGACCCCCGGGGGCAGGGCGGGGCCACAATGGGAAATCCAAGTTTTACATTAAAATATATAGAACAAATCTTTAAAAATCTTCTTCTCAAGAACTACTGGGCCTCAAAAGCTGAAACTTATACGGAAGCATCCTTGGGTAGTGTGGATATCAAATTGTTAAAATCATGACCCCCAGGGTTAGGGTGGGGCCACAATGGGGAATCAAAGTTTTATATAGAAATATAGGAAAAATCTTTGAAAATCTTCTTCTCAAGAACCACTGAGCCAGAAAAGTTGAAGCTTATGTGGAAGCATTCTTGGGTAGTGTAGATTCTTAATTGTTCAAATCATGACCCCCGGGGAAAGAGCGAGGCCACAATGGGGAATCAAAGTTTTACATAGAAATATATAGGAAAAATCTTTGAAAATCTTCTTCTCAAGAACCACTGGGCCAGAAAAGCTGAAACTTATGTGGAAGCATCCTGGTATAGTGTAGATTCTAAATGAAATCATGACCCCCGGGGGAAGGGTGGGGCCACAATTGGTAATCAAAGTTTTACATAGAAATATATTGGAAAAATCTTTGAAAATTTTCTTCTCAAGAACCACCGGGCCAGAAAAGTTGAAACTTATGTGGAAGCATTCTTGGGTAATGTAGATTTTAAATTGTTCAAATCATGACCCCCAGGGGAAGGGTGGAGCCACAATGGGGGAATCAAAGTTTTACATAAAAATATATATGAAAAATCTTTGAAAATCTTCTTCTCAGGAACCACTGGGCCAGAAAAGCTGAAACTTATTTGCACATGGAAGGATCCTGGGGTAGTTGATTTCAAAATGTCTTAATTATGATCAGTGGGGTAGGGTGGGGATACATAATGTATTACAAGGGGGAAATCTGGTAAAGAACAGAATGGTCAAAGCTTCTCAGGTGAGGGATGTGGCCCATGGGCCTCTTGTATTGTTTTATGGACTTTTGATCTTAAATACTGTTCGTTTTCTCCATATGTTTCATTAATACTAGTATAAGTAAAATGATGAACTCACTCTGGATCACATGAATTAGTTTCAGCATTAGAGGGAAAATAAAAAAGATTTAAATTTTGCTAGAAAGAAATGTTCAAATTGATAAAGATTTTATTGAAGATTATACAAATCCAAAGTAAAAGTTCTTGATGAATTTAACAATCATAATGAAATCATTCGACTTATTTACATTTCAATATTTACTGTATGTATTTATTTATTTTTAGTTTTCTGTTGGTAATTTTTTTTCAGGTAAATTCATTTTTTTCTCCCCCTCAAAATGCGATGCTATGTCTCAATCTTTTGATTACTTGGAAAATTGTATTGCCTTAAAGTAATACATTGTATTGCCTTAAAGTAATACATTATAGTATTTAAAAATATCTTGATAAAAGATTATTTTTTTCAACTTTGTTATTCTTAAAGTAGAGACTTTTGAAGTTTGTAATATTTTTATATTATAAAAACATTTGAAAAAAATGGATGAAATGATTTTTAACAAAGTATAATCACAAAATTGTAAGAATATCTATTTTCATACAGATTTTTCGAAGACCTGTTTCAAAATGGGAAGGTTAATTATTTTGATCCACGTTCATCAAAGTTTTATCGATTGTTTACAATTGCAACGCACACAAAATGTTGCTTATAATAGGTAATCAAACATTAATATTAAGTGTACATCCATCAATATTTAAGTCAATCAGTCTTTATTAATTCAATCAATTGTTTTAATTTCATAACTTCGGATGAGACCTTATAAACCTACGTCTTGTGTTGCAGTAGATGCTGGAACGAAAAAGATCCATCACTGCTCAATTGCCCTGAGTATCTAGTATAGGACAAAATTAAGTGACCAAAGTCAGTATTTCAGTTGCATAATACCGGAAAATTTGATGGTTGCATATGAAGGTACGACTGTAGTTATTTTAAAAGTTTAAGAACACATTCCCAGTTCATTCCTCTCCGCCTTTCCCATAGTACATGTTTGTGCACAAATGACTGTGAAAGAGTCATTCTTGACAAAGGAAATAAGTATGGTTGATTTCTCGAGTTACAATCAAAGGAATATGCATAATTATAAATGGATAGAAATGGTAGCGTTTTGAGACGTTGACAATGACATTGTCTATGAATACTTGATAGCTCAGCACTTCTGAAATGAAACTTATTCTGGCACATGAAAAAAACTTGTAAATTTGGTGATCAGAATTAATCAGTGATGGCAAAGCTTTTATTTTGCTTCTCTTTTGGACAACAGATGGTATAATACAACCATCTCAATGACTGGTAAACAATTTTTCGGAATTTTGACTCCCCAACTAAGTATATAAAAGGATTGATGACATTGTTAATAAAAAATGCTCTTGCCAAAAGCGGTAGAGTTGCCAATACAACTGGGCTTGGTGGCAAAGCAAGGCCTCTATTGAACGTGGAAGTGGCATCCAAAATGCAGTTCGGTAGATAGGACAAGATAAACGCAACTGTGATTGCAATCATAAGTTTTGTGATTCTGGGATTTGAATTGTTCAGTTTTTCATTCAGATTCTTAGTCGTTAGGTTTTTGGTGTGTTTCCGAAGTGATAAAATAACGAAGGTATATAAAACAGCGAGCAGCAGAAACACTATGACATTTACAGCAAAAATAATTGTGAAATAAATAAAAGGATATTGAGTATTCACAATGTCGTCATCAAGAGAGCAATCAAATCCAGTGATATTTCCTGGAAGATGTACGTGTTTAAGTCCTTGGACGAATGCATTTGGCCAAGAAAGTGCGATGGCAAGAAGAATCGTCGCTCCACAATAAAGACGAGCTTGAAGTAAGGTGGTGGCGGTTGAAAACGGGCGACAAATCTTTTTGTACCTGCTGGCAGCAATCAGAACAAGAACAAAAGCTGATCCTATCTTAAAAACATTGCCAAAGAAACGACCACATTTGCATAGGGCTTCACTATAAAACATAACTGGGTAGGCGTTGTCCACTATCTCCACAGGCATGGCGAAAATACAGGAGAGAAGGTCAATGTCCGCTAGAGTCAGGATGTACAGTCGAAATGTTGACGGTGGGTACTTAAGCGAATACACAATAATGACCACCGTGTTTCCAATTACTCCAATGATAATTAAAACCGTCAGGAAGATAACAGTGGAAAGGCGTTGTTCGGCTTTTGACGCATTGACTTCTTCTAAACTCTGGAAAAGTTGTGTAGAAGTATTTGAAACCACCATTGTCAGATTTTTCATCTTTTAATACTGAAAAAATGAATTAAAAATTCGAATTTTTCAACTTTTCCATCAGAAGATTTCTATCGTAATTTTTTACGAAGCCACAAATTTAAACATTGATGGATAATATGACAAATACATGCAAACGCTTAGTAACATATGTGCTTATAAGCAAACAGAGAAGATTGTGCTGATAGGTCCCTTGTTTCCTCTTAGCACTAATTTGAATGTCAACATGACCTGGTCAAATGAATTATGAATACAAATGTCAATGCCCCTACTTCATTTATCCAAGTTAGGAAACCGAATTTGTCACCTTTCTTAAGAACGAGGGCGCTGTTCATTGGCATTCGGCAGGAATCTGAGCGTACTTGAAAAGTGTAAATTTTATCGATAAGTTACTTGGAATTTTAACGTATTTTTAATTTATTTGGTTCCTGTGAAATGGGAAAGGGAAATAATTTCCCGATAGTGAGTTTTGATTTGATGAAAAATAACTTGAAAATTGGCTAGATCAGACATTTGGTACAGAATGGTACATTTTAAAACACGTTTTTCTAAAAAAAATTTCTATCTTTGGGTCTGCTCTCCATGATTATGAAACGTCATTTGTGTGCATTTTAATTCAAAGAAACGAATATACAATTATAAAAAATGAAGAGAAGACTCAGAGACCATAAAAACTGAACTTTTTCCAAAATTCAAATTGTGTAAATGTGGTGCTTCTTTGTCCTTTTATAAAATCCATGGTGTGTGTAGCGGTGATAGCTAAGTGTTATGGTTTACCTGTTCAGTGCATTTAAAGTAAAAAGTTTTTGGTTCGAGCCTCACTCGGGGCGTTAATCAATTTCAAACTGCATTTTTGACACCTGATCCCACTTCTGATGTTTTTGGAGGACCGTGTTTCCTCTGCTCATATTTTGTATTGTTTTATAGACTTTTGATCTTGAATACTGTTCGATTTCTCCGTATGTTTCATTAATACTAGTGTTAGTAAAATGATGAATTCTGGATTACTTGAATTAGTTTCAGCATTAAAGGGAAAATAAAAAGATTTAAATTTTGCTAGAAAGAAATGTTCAAGATGGGGAAAACTGTAATTGATAAAGATTTTATTGAAGATTAAACAAATCCAAAGTAAAACTACTTGATGAATTTAACAATCGTGATGAAATCATGACTTACATTTGAATACAAATATTTCATTCAACTTATTTTACATTTCAATATTTATAACGGTCATTCGGATGACACCCTATTAACCATTGTATTGTATTGCAGGAGGTATTGGCACGAAAAAGATCCCTAACTCCTCAATGGACAAATACCCTCAGTCAGGTAGAATTTTGCTTCCCTTAACAGACAAGTGGTGGCGTCTGATTGATTGATTGATTGATTGATTGTATGTTGTTTTACGTCCCATTCGAGAATTTTTCACTTACAAAGAGACGTCACCGTATACATACCGATGAAGGGCTTTAAATTTTGACCTTTACTCGGCACTCAGGGCCATTAAGCAGTGAGGGGTTCTTTATCGTGCCAATGCCTGCCGTGACACGGGACCACGGTTTTAAGGTCTCATCCGAAGGACCCCAACTTTCACTTCAAGTGCCGAGCACATGGCTAAGGTACAGTTGCTACCCATTTTTTTATCGACTTAGGTCAGTCGCGGCCGATATGCGAACTCACTACCTCCCGTTCACGGAGCGAGCGCTCTACCGACTGAGCTACCGTGAACGGTCTGGTGGCGTCTGCATATGAATGAAAACTGTTAAACAACAACAAAAAACCAGGTTGAAAAATGATTTCGACCGTTTATTATAAAATATTCATGTTAAATTAAACAGTACAATAAAATTGATATGAAACCATATTGGTATTATTTAAATGGCAATTTAATTGTATTATTTTTTTTTATTATCATTTTTTAATTTTCTGTTTGTAATTTTTTTCCAGGTAAATTTGATTTTTCCCCCTTAAAAACGCCAACTGTGTCTCAAGCTTGTGATTACTTGGAAAATTGTAATGCCTTTATGAAAATACATTATGGTATTTAAAAATATCTTGATAAAAAATTTGTTCACTTTGTTATTCTGATAAACTAGAGTTAAAAACAAATACTTTTGAACTATGTCATATTTCAAACATGTGTGAAATTATTTTTAGTAAAATATAATCACAAAATTGTACGAATAACTATTTTTATACGGATTTTTTAAGTCCTATTTCAAATTGGGAAGGTTAATTATTTTGAAACACATTCATCAAAGTTTTTTTTCGGTTTTTCACAAATTGGCACGCACGCAAAGTGTTACTTATATTAGGTAATCAAACATTAATATGAAATGTACATCAATCAGTATTAAAGTCAATCATTTTATATTAATTCAATCAATTGTTATAATTTCATAACTTCGGAATAACCGTATAAATCTAGGTCCCGAGTCGCAGTATGTGCGGGCACGAAAAAAGATCCCTCATTGCTCAATAGCCCTGAGAGCCGAACAAATGGCAAAATTTAGTGGCCAAATTTAGTATCCCAAATGCATAATACCAGAAAATTTGATGATTGGATATGAAGGTACAGCTGTAGTAATTTAGAAGTTTAAGAACACAGTCCCAGCTCTTTCCTTCCCGCTTTCTCCCAATAAATGTCATACACATATGACTGTAGAAGAGTCATCCTCGACGAAGACAATAAGTATGGTTAATGTGTCGGAGTTTCAATCATAGGAAAATACACATAAATGGACAGAAATGGTAGCATTTTGAGACGTTGACAATGGCATTGTCTATGAATACTTGATAGCTCAGCTCTTCTGAAATGAAACATTCTGGCACATGAAATTAATCAGTAATGGCAAAGCTTTTATTTTGCTTCTCTTTTGGACAACAGATGGTATAATACAACCATCTCAATGACTGGTAAACAATTTTTCGGAATTTTGACTCCCCAACTAAGTATATGAAAGGGTTGATGACATTGTTAATGAAAAATGCTCTTGCCAAAAGCGGTAGAGTTGCCAATACAACTGGGCTTGGTGGCAAAGCAAGGCCTTTCTTGAACGTGGAAGTGGCATCCAAAATGCAATTCGGTAGATAGGACAAGATAAACGCAACTGTGATTGCAATCATAAGTTTTGTGATTCTGGGATTTGTTTTGTTCAGTTTTTCATTCAGATTCTTAGTCGTCAGGTTTTTGGTGTGTTTCCGAAGTGATAAAATAACGAAGGTGTATAATACAGCGAGCAACAGAAACACTATGATATTCACAGCAAAAATAATTGTGTAATAAATAAATGGATATTGAGTGTTTACAATGTCGTCATCAAGAGTGCAATCAAAACCGGTGATATTTCCTGGAAGATGTACATGTTTTATTCCTTGGACGAATGCGTTTGGCCACGAAAGTACGATGGCAAGAAGGATCGTCGCTCCACAGTAAAGACGAGCCTGAAGTAAGGTGGTGGCGGTTGAAAACGGGCGACAAATCTTTTTGTACCTGCTGGCAGCGATCAGGACAAGAACAAAGGCTGATCCAATCTTAAAAACATTCCCTATGAAACGACCACATTTGCATAGGGCTTCACTATAAAACATAACTGGATAGGCGTTGTCCACTATCTCAACAGGCATGGCGAAAACACAGGCGAGAAGGTCAGTGATCGCTAAGGACAAGATGTATAACCGGAACATGGACGGTGGGTACTTACGGGAATACACAACGATGACCAATGTGTTTCCAATAACTCCAATAATCATTAAAATTGTCAGGAAGATCACAGTAGGGAGGCGTTGTTGGGCTTTTGACGCATTGATTTCTTCTAAAGTCGAGTAAATTTTGGTTGATGCATATGAAATCTCCATTGTTATATTTTCCATCCTCTTTTTGTTATAGTTGGTGCAACCTCTAACAAAAGTTCTGAATCTTAAGTAAAAAATAGGGGAGATGTGATGGATATTTGGGTCCAGGTTTACATTTCTCTTCGTTTTAAATGTTTTTAAAATTTACTTCGGACCGCCTTCTCTTCCGCTAACTTTCTTCTGTTTTTCTTATATTTTTTTTCCACTTGATAAAAGATTTATGTCTTTAAAAGGTTTTCTATTTTTGTATTTTTTTCTTCCGTTTGCTTCCGTATCTCATTCTTTCTGCATGTTTCTTTTCACTTTTTTCTTTTATCACATTTTGCACCTTGGGAGTTAGGATGTCTTAGAAAACGTTTTTAGAAACTACTGCATGTGACATTTGTCTGATAATTTACTTTGCACACTTATTTACAATTTTTGACAGTATCTAATAAATTACATACTCATTGATTCCTGATAGGTCGCTCATTTTTTTTAAAGTATTTCAATCTAATAAAAAAAACAATACAATTACTTTTCATCTTGTTTTGATTTTTTTTTAATTATTTCGTTATTTTTAAGAAATACAATGAGCAAATGACTTTTGAATGTAAATGTTAATACTTTTATCCAAATGCGTTAAAATACGGGTCTGAGACAATTAACAAAAGAGAAAAACGATTCATCAATGCTATAATTAAAATGAAATCTATAACATTTTCAATACGGTATTCAAGTGCGTTTAAAATATACATTCCTGCAGTTTCTAACGAAGACATGATTGTTTTCATGGGACTAATATTACCTAAATTCTCAAAGTTTATAGAATGAACATCCTCAATACACTGAAAAATTGATTTTTTTCTTTCTACATCATTAAGAGGTTTTTTTTATATTGTAGATTACAATATACGATGTTGATTCTTGTCTGTAGTGTGGAATTATGAATATAATTTTCCTCTTTCATCACAAGGAAGCAATTGCTGTTTTCTTTATATCTATAAAGTTAAATCACGGTACCCCTTACCATTCCATCAAAGAATGATAACCCCTCCATCATAGTAGGCTATCTGTTCTGCCTCTTCGGAAATTGTCCCGCTTTGTACTTCTCTTTAGTACTTTTTAGATGATCACATGCCTTAATGACGGGAATTAGGGTTATCAAACGATGATTAATTTATAACTCATAGGTTTTAATTGTACTTTTGAGATCACTAAAATTTAGCGCCTATCGTTATTACAACAAATTGTTCTGGATTAATCGATGAATAGACACAAATTAGAAACTTGTATTAAGGACAAACGCAACATAGTTTGAACTTTTATGTCTTTTTCCATGGAGTTGAAGAGTTCCAATTCTTGCAGGAACTAATAATGTCTATATACTGGTATGGTGTTATACACTTCTAAAACAATTTTGATTGAAAGAAACATCTAGAATATTTGTTTAGTATTTTTTAAGTATTTTTTATATATTTTTCTTCGAATCATCCAAGAATTTTCATTAGTTTTTATCTTTCAAAAAGCCCTAGTAATGTATGCTGATGTTCTACCTATGAACATCTTATGACACTATCATCTTAAATTAAGAATATCTTTAAAATTATCAGCAGGTAAGGTACGTTGCGTATGTCCTTTAATAAAATATAAAGATAACGAAGAGTATTCAAGCTCAGTCCGTTTAAACAATACAAAACGGGAGCAGAGCAAACACGGAGCTCTAAAAACACCAGAGGCGGATCACGTAACAGGCAGGAGTAAGCAACACGACAGAAATATCCCTAGCAATTTCGATGTGTACGTTTTTAGCTCTACTGGTCAGAGACCAGAAGAGCTTATGCGATAGTAATGCGTCCGGCGTCCGTCCGTCTGTCCGTCTGCCTGTCCGTCTGTCTGTAAACAATTTTTCAAAATGCTACTCCTCCTACAGTTTTGGTCTAATTTCAGTATAACTTGGCACACAAGTAGACTACACTAAGATACATAATTCTGTGTATCGGTTTTTGATTTCGATGAACGGTGTTGCCGTGGTTACTAAAAATAGAAATTTCTGTGAAATTCTTTCAAAACGCTACTCCTCCTACAGTTTTGGTCTGATTTCATTATAACTTGGCACACAAGTAGACTACACTAAGATACATAATTCTGTGTATCAGTTTTTGATTTTGATGAACGGTGTTGCCGTGGTTACTAAAAATAGAAATTTCTGTGAAATTCTTTCAAAATGCTACTCCTCCTACAGTTTTGGTTTGATTTCATTATAACTTAGCACACAAGTAGACTACAATAAGATACATAATTCTGTGTATCGGTTTTTGATTTCGATGAACGGTGTTGCCGTGGTTACTAAAAATAGAAATTTCTGTGAAATTCTTTCAAAATGCTACTCCTCCTACAGTTTTGGTCTGATTTCAGTATTACTTGGCAAACAAGTAGAATACACTAAGATACATAATTCTGTGTATCGGTTTTTGAGTTTGATGAACGGTGTTGCCGTGGTTACTAAAATTAAAAATTTCTGTGAAATTCTTTCAAAATGCTACTCCTCCTACAGTTTTGGTTTGATTTCATTATAACTTGGCACACAAGTAGAATACACTAAGATACATAATTCTTTTATCGGTTTTTGATTTCGATGAACGGTGTTGCCGTGGTTACTAAAAATAGAAATATCTGTAAAATTGTTTCAAAATGCTACTCCTCCTACAGTTTTGGTCTGATTTCAATATAACTTGGCACATAAGTAGAATACACTAAGATACATAATTCTGTGTATCGAATTTTAATTTTGATGAACGGTGTTGCCGTGGTTACTAAAAATAGAAATGTCTGTAAAATTGTTTCAAAATGCTACTCCTCCTACAGTTTTGGTCTGATTTCAGTATAACTTGGCACACAAGTAGACTACACTAAGAACATAAAGAGACTTCCTTTGCTATAAGTTCAAACCAGTAGAGCTTCAGTCTCGACAGAGACTTCTGGTTTAAGTTATATGAGAAAAGGTTAGCGATATTTGACCAACCGATAGATTGTATTTCCTGACAAGATCATTGTATTGACCATAAAACTTCCGAAACAAGTTACATTTATTGAACTTCTTTTTTTGTAGTAAAATATCCAGATACTAAGCATATGTGTCAGACTTCATGGTGTCTGGTATTATTATTACTTCCCTTGCTTGAAAAGCAGGGGGTATGTAGTGATGGCTGGGTTTGTTTTTCTGCCCGTCCGTCCAACTGTCTGTACGTTTGTCCTTTACACTTTGGGGTTCCCTACTTTTATCTGCAACTCCTCCTATACTAATCAATAAAATTCATGAGACTTCACAGAATCTTTATGACATTGTGCCACTGCGCACCTTCTTTTTCATTTTTTTAAATCGGATTTTGGGTTTCCCTTAGCAAAACATGGACACTGCTATTCTTTCTACAATGTTGAGGGGTACCCATCCCTTATCCGAAACTCCTCCTTTACCACTGAATACAAAATTTTATGATACCTTCACAGATTCTTTTATACACAGTGCCATTGTGACCTTCTATTTTACTTTTTGATCTGACATTAGTTCAGATTTCTCTAAGCAAAACACGGACTTTACCATTATAATCATATGGGAGGCTGCATCCTCGCAAGCTAGGGGTCCTGAGTCAACACATTGCTGTTAGTCTAACGGCAACCTTTTGACTCAGGACCCCTGGCTTGCGGTTTGCAAGGATGGGGAGACTGTGGTGTCATTTTGAGAAATCAGTGCTCACAGTACTAATTTCAATGGCATGTATAGAATCGAAAAAATAAATGGAAGTTTCTCTTGTTCATTGATGATATCCATTTTAAATCTTCTGAACACTCTATTGATCTCCGTCATCGTACGTCATGTGTTAACATATGAGCATTCTCTTCAATTCTTGAACACCTGAACGAAATTTCAACCAATTTTGACATTTATTCGTTTGTAAAGAAAAAACTCTCTTGGTCTCTTCCTCGGGGGCCTAGGTATTATGCTAAAAGCATTAAAATTAATGCATTTTTTTTGTGCTAGATAACAATCAGTCAAACTGTTGGCTTTTTTTGTAATGAACATTGATCCTTCTTCCAAAATTTGAGGTTTTTTTTACCCGAAGGTCAGGGACTTCTGAGTTTGGGTGGGGCATATAGAGCAAATAATGAAAATGCATTAATTCTTCAAAGATCCTGGCTCTTTCTTCAATTCTTATGCTGGTGTTCAGCCTGTTGTTTCTCTGCTGATGTGGATGTCTTTTTTCTGCTTTTCTTCTTTGAAAGCCTTCCATCGATTGAAACTTACACATCTCATCAATTTGCATTTTAATCCCTTTTTTCATTGTTGTTATCCCCATTCTGTTTAAGTTGAAATTTTTGCTTTTGTCACCGTACCCGACTTTCTGCAATCTTAGTTCTTATATAAACACATTAACCCAGACTTTACTAGCATAATATGTTGTTATTCAAGAATTATATACTGAAAGATAAGACATCGAGAGTAACAGTATTTTAATTCAAAATATAATCTGAATATATAATTTTATGGAAAAAAATATTCAGCGAAATTCAACCATCATGAGATGTACTTTATTTTCGTGGAATGAGGAGAGGGGGATTAAACCCTTTGATTATTGTATATGTGGTTAGAATATACAGATTTATATCAATATTGTCGAGAACCCTCTTCTTTTAGCAAAATTGTATATTTTATTACCAAATATCTTCCAATAAAGTCCATTGATTTGGATACCGGTATTGGTGTTTTAGTTAGAAAGTTAAGCTTGTTGATATTTTTCCCTAGGGCAAGGGGTTATATTGCATGAATAATGATAAATAATTTAGTGCATCTGTGAAATCCATTAGGACACGAGTATCAAGAAATCTTTAAAATTACACGATAATGCAAAGGAAATCAGGAATTTTAAAATCGTAGCAGATATTTAATGTCATCGCCAAATCAATTATGCTATCTTAAACTTAACTTCAGTTCTGATGTCGATGTTTACTGTATGTAGCAATCTCATCAAACAGTTCAT